CTTGTGGAGAACATTGCACATGAGGGTGGTGGAGGCGGCAGTGTAATAACGGCATGGCAGCAGCCGGCGGGCGCGGCGAGAGCTGGCAAGGGCGGTGGCGGCGATGCCGGAGTTGCTGCCTCTTCGCCTAGCAAGCGGCAGAGACGAGATGAAGACGCCGTGCCGGCAGCCCCGCAGCCACCGCAGGCCCCTCACGACGCACCACCACCCCAGCTGCCGCCGCAGCAGCTTCAGCCCAGCCCTCAGCCGCCATGGTTACACGCCCGCAACCGGATCATGGAGCTGCTGCTTCGCGGCGCGACAGCAGCAGAGTTCCGCTCGCTGTTGTTCAGCATGCCCTGGGAGGACATGCGGGATATGCGGTCAGACGACGGCGGTGGCGGCCTCTTGCACTTGCTGGTTACTCCTCCGCCGTACCTGCGGAGTGGTGAAATGGGCTTCAGTGCGCGGCCGCCCGTCGACGCGGACGAGGGGCTGGCAGAGGAGGAGGCGATAGGGATGCTCAAGGTGGGATGGGGGTCTTGGGTGCGTGGGTGCGTCAGATGTGGGGTCTGGTGTGTGCCCGCTGGGTTCGTGGGTTCTACATGATGGCCATGCCGCAGCTGCTGTTTGGGGGAGAAGGTGTGCCATGCAACTCGCTCTTCCTGCAACCGTCCTGCGGTGTTTCGTGTCGCACCCCTTTCGCAGACTTTGCCGGCATTGTAGTATCATGGGTCATGTATCATGTGATTCACTGTTCTGGCATCAACGGCCGATCTGTCCTTTTCTGTCTGATAAGGCATGATACAACAGGCATTTACCCTCTGCTGCGTCTACCCATTGCTTTCAGGCTGTGGAGGAGCGGCTATACATGGAGCGGGGACCCTTACTTGGCGAGCAGGAGTGGCGTCTGCTGCTCCAGCGGCAGGAGTCGCTACACGATGACGGCGTGCTGCACACCGCAGGGCTCTACGGGCACCGTGTGAAGGTGCTGAAGTTCCTGCTCAAGTGCGCTAGCAGGTGCGGTGGAGACGTGGAGTGGAGAGCCGGCTTGCCCGGCCGCGCTGCTGTCATGCTGCTATGCCGCTGCTGATAATGCTCGAACGTCCTTGTCTTTGCTGCCACGCCGCTGCCGCCGTGTTACTGCCATGCTATACAGCCGCATTGCTGCTATCCTCGTTCCCTGCAGGTGTGCGCTGCTGCAAACCACCGCCCACCGCGCCTACCTGCCCTACCACACCGCCCTGCGTAGCGGCCACCGGGAGGCGGGTAGGCTGCTCCTCGCCGCGACGTTGCAGGCGGCACATGACATCGCGGCTGCTGCTGCAGCGGCGGCAGGCTCAGTCACTGCTCATGCCGGCAGCGTCCAAGGTCGGCCACCGCCGCATGCGGTGCTGCCACCATTCGAGGTAGGCAGCGAGGAGGAGGTGGTGGGTACGCTGGTGTACACGCTGAGTAACCAGTACTTCCGTGGCACCAATGAGGAGGGCTTCCGGCCGCCACCGGGGCACCAGGGTGCGGTGTTGCTGCCGGCGCTGTGCGAGGAGCTCCTTGGCAGCTACAGCAGCAGCAGCAGCAGCAGCACCCACCCCGGGCAGCAGCAGCAGCAGCAGCAGCAGCAGCCGTCAGATGACGCTGCGGGGACGTCGTCCGCCGCTGCAGGCTTGGGAATGCTGCGTCATATGGTGGTGCACAGCTGCCGGCTGCCGCTGCCGGCGCCCTCGCCTGCTGGGAAGGAGGCCCGAAAGGCGTCGGAGGTGGGGAGGTTAGCTGGGCACGCTAGCATGCTGGACTGGCAGGAGCTGCGGGCGCGGGTGGCAGCAGGTGGTGGTTGCTGTTGACGGAATGCGGCGGGAGCTAGTTAGCGGTGGGTGTGGCGGAGAAGGGGCGCGGGCTGCTGGTTAGGAAGTGGACTAGCTAGAAGTGGACTGTTGGCTGAGGAATGGAAGGGGCCTGCTTCCAGGCTGGAAGGCTGGCGGCCGCCAGCATGCATGTGCACTGCTGCCATGTGCTCATGTCTGCTCGCCTCATTGATATGTTGTTTGGGGAACTACTAGGGTTGTTTTGTTGGTAAAAAGCCAGGCACTGCAGGGTATAGGGTACCCTCATGAAGCGTAGGGTACCTTGTTGAGCCGTGCACCGTACGTTTACCGGTACTTGTCTGTCCCGCGTCACCAGGAGAGTTGCATGTGTGTCGTACAAGGCGCATACGACATGCGTTGTACTTGCTTACGTAACAGTGCGCTGAGCTGACTGGACAGGAGACGCTACAATGGTCCCCCAGAAGGGAACACGGGTGACGAGCCCAACTGTTGAATCTGCATGCATGCAGTTGTAATTGCTTGCTGTTGCATGCATTCTTCCTGCTCAATGTTCTCAAGCAAGTCACCCCACGTTCCAAGTAAGGCCACCCCCACGCACACGCTACCCTTCCATCCTCAGCCTGCTAGCCCTGCCAAGTTAATAAACACTATCCTACACTGACGGGACTGACGCTTAGAGAAGATAGGTATACATCCAGTAGCTAACGAGGGCCCAGGGGGACACAGGAAGATGATGGCATGCTCATCCACGTCATCACCGCCGGCCGAACTCCTCGCACAGCCGCGCCAGGTCCGCCACACAAAACGGAGGCATTACGTCGTACAACGAGGCCTGTGCGCGCGGAGATTGTGTCGTACGTACGGTGTCGTACATACGTTCGAGAGAAGGGCGCCGTACACCATCAGTCATAACACCTCAGCCAACCGGGTTAATTGCTAAAATGACGGTCCTACCATGTAACCGATACAAGGACAAGCGCATCTATCCCTGTACCGCTTTGTACTGCTGTACCGCACCACGCACTATACGATATCGTACAAAGATCCGCGCTTGTGTTGCATGTACAGGACAATGGCATGCCTACCTTAAGCTTCCCAGCTCCCAACTTGACGGGAACCTTCCTCAGAAGCCCCTCCACTTCTGCCTCTCGAAGACCCTTGTATGTTGAGCTAACAAGCATGGGGAGTCAGAAAGAAACCAAACCGCAGGCAGGTTAGGACGAGGAAATAGGGATAAGCGGCAGCTGGGTGCCACAAAACAAGTGACGGTTGGCGGCTCCTACCAATACCGACTTTGTGCATGTGGAGAGGGTAAAAATTATATAAAAGTGAAACAACGTATCCCAATCCCATATCCCGACTCATGCAGTGAGCGCATTCGGAGACACTAATAACACGCATCTCAAATTGGGTGGCGTGGCGTGGACGGAGGAAGTGGTTTACCGCTCACACCAACAAGGAGGTATTCATCAGCAGTTTACCCATTACCGTACCGAGAGGTGTTGTATTAGCCGACACCCATTCACCGGCCACCACCACTATCACCAACACCACATACCCACCTACCTGCGGTCCCAGCTGCTGCGCGAGGGCTTGGCTCATCTTCAGGCTGCTTCCGGGGATACCGGCGCCGATGTCCTGCCGGCACAGTACATCATGCAGTACACATGCAGGTGCGGTAATGGGACATCGATTGTGCAATCAACAAGCAGTTACGGTATGTCCGCGGGGATACTTAAAAATGACCGTGACCAAAGGAAGACCCGTGATAAAGCGCCGGGCAGCACGGCATAAGTTACGGCTGGTATTAAGGTTAGTTTGGCAGAAGGCAGCATGCAGGTGATGAAGCAGCGGTTTATTCATTTCTGGGAGGGAGGGTTTAAGGGTTTGGAGGGTGGGAGGGAGGGAGGGAGGGAGGGAGGCCCTCGCCTCCGCCCTCCTCCGCACAGCCTCGCGGCTACCATCCGACGCGCGCTGCAATCTGGCGTTACGGCTGCATCAGGCGCGGCTACTGCGCAACCTTGACGCCCGGCTTCACCACGCCGTCCATGCAATGTTCGGTGCCGCCGCCGCCGCCACCAATGCCACCGCCACCACCATGGCCCTTGCAGGGGCCAAACATAGGGCCTGGGAGGCTGATGTGTTGTAGTCTCTGTTGTTGAACAAGTACCTGTTACTAAAGCTGCTGCTGCTGTATGATACTCTCTGGCAGTCTCGGCATGGGCAGCTGGGTACGGAAGAAGAGGAGGAGGGTAATGGTGGTGGTGGTGACCAACGGCAGGAGCGAGAGCCGTGCAATGACAGGTCAGGCGGTCGCTGGCAGCGGCGGCGGCGCGAGCACTCACAAGGTGACAACGGCGATGACAACGGTGATGCCGACCCATGGGTCGCCAAGCGGGAGTTCGCGTTCTTCATCACAGTGGCAAGCTGGCAATGCGAGTATGTCAGCTGATGACATTGGTTTATTTATCCCAGGAGTTAGCCGCAGCGGTGCGTCAGTCCGCAAACAGTGCAGTGGCGCCGGAGCAAGTGGAACCTCCGTCATCGACGTCAAGCGCGCGAGCTAGGATGCTTGCAGGCATGCTCACATTATTCCAACTGGTTGCCGGCATCGGCTTGCTGGCAGAGTGTCGGCAGCGCTCCCCGCCGCCAGGCGCGCGAGCCGCCGCCGCCCCATCGGCCTGACGGAGGTGCTGACGCTGGCGGTGCGAGCGACTTGCGCGCTGGCGGTGCCGTCTGCTGCTGCAGGCAGTGGCCGCGCGCAGCGTGCCAGGAAGTGAAGTCACGGCCGCGGAGACGTTGGATCTTGCCGCTGCCGGCCTGCGCGCCCTGATGGCGGTGTACGACGATGGCGGCGGCGCTGCTGGCGCCGCAGCCGCGTGGGGGCGATGCTGGGTCGCATAGATAGGGGGAATCAGGAGGCGAACGAATGGCAGCTAGGCGTTATTGCAGCTAAACAGAACTTGGTGGAGGTACGGCGTCCCTATAGCAGTCGAACCAGGTCTTACCCCGGGGTTACCGCCCCCCCTACATTACCGATTTCACTACCGAGGGGTAACCGACCTGCCCGCGTTACCCCCTCGTCAAGTCCTCGTCAGGGGTCCGTTATCTCAAGGTCCGTTACAGGGGTATGACGAACCTCGGTAACCGAGATACCTAACCCAGCCATGTTACCCCAGGGTAACCAAGTCTGTTCGACCGCCTGGAGTCTGGGGCGCCGCAAAAGCACGCGCATGGATCCTCAGTGCACACTTAGTACTGTGCATGTTCCAGCCATGAGATTGTCGTCTTCTACCAAACTAGTCCTCCGCAATGCCATACTTATGAACCTTCTTCCATGAGATGCCACACATGCACACGCATGCCGCACACATGCGCACTCCCGTCACACGCGCCATACCTCAGCTATCCTCTACCCAGTCATAACCACCGTCTTGCAACTAAAACAACCTAGTTCGCAGTTGCGCAAGGCGATGCCCCCACCCCTTATCCCCCTTATATGAATCCCAATACGCTCCCTAAGCTTCCCGTACCGCAGTAGCTAGCTACCTTTGCTTCCCGTACCGCTATGTGCACCGCGGTCTATCTGCCACTACACTGGGCAGGCTCAAGCTCCGGCTCCGGATCGCCTGCTTGCTTCCTTGCGCCTCTCGCAGAAGGCTTGGCGGGCTGCCGAGCTGTGTCCTGCTCGCCACGAACACGGGGCAGTCGCTCCTCCTCGTTTTCTGCAAACACAGCAGGGTAGGCGTGGTGTTGCACGTTCTGTCACATACTTGTTACCATCTCGAAAGGAAAGTTTGATTAGTCATGGTACTAAGCACACTTCGGGACCCTTCGGTGGTGATATGTCTCAACCCCTTCGTGCATCACGCACCTTGGGCCGCCGCTGAACCACCAGGGCTATATCCCCAGGCATGCCGCCGTCCACTGCGGCGCCCGCCAGCCCATCGTGCTGGCTGCCTGCCCCCTCGCGCATTGTGGTCTTCACTGTAGTGGGGAGCAATGCACAGGTTGGTTTGGTAAAGGGCGGGCCCGGTATGATATTTTCATCATTTCTAGCAAGCGTCACACAGAAGGACGAGAGAGCAGAGTATAGGCACAGTTTCTACCTAGCACAGAAGGAGTTCCTATCGCCCGCTTACCTGACATGCTGGGTGTTTGCTGCTCGCGATGGTGATGCTTCCGAGCAGGAGGGTGAGCTGCCCCGTGATACAGTCAGGTACATCCACCGCAGCAGGCTTGCCAGCCTCCTTCCGCTCCTTTCTCGCAGGCCTGCACAATGTAAGGCACAGTGATAAATCCAAGGCTTGAAATTATCCAAGCAAGTAGCAATCCATTTGTTCTGAAAGGCAGGTTGTATCGAGTCAATCGGCAGCGGTCAATGTGTAAACCTAGAGAGAAATGTTACTCTTTACCTGGTGTCCGAGTCTCTCTGCACCATCTCCAAGTGCTGGATAAACCTAGCAGTGTTCAGCGTGAAGCAGTCGGCCCGCTTGCCCAGGCATCCCGACACGAGGGCGCACGCGTTTTTCACTGATTCGCTCTGATTGACTCCGCTTAGAAGTTCGCAGAAGCCTCAAACGTCATCTTTTGTTGTCGCAGCACGTCCTCGACATGGTTCTCCAACTCCATTCCGCGCTTCCTGACCCCCCCCTCTCCGCCACACGTGCGTACTAACCTGCTGGCCACAGCTGATGGCTCGCGCTGCATGCTAGTGCCGCCCCCGCCAATCCATCCTGCCCCGCCGCTACATGCCGCTGCCGCCACGGCCGGCCCTGCGCGTGGGGCTGTAGGGAAGGCACACGGAGGCGCCAAGGCGCGGGGCGGGGGAGGGGGCGTCATGGTACAAGCAGAAGCGTTAAGGGCGAGGGCGGCATGCAGCTACAGGCCCAACGCAAGCATGCGCCAAGTAAGCAAGGCTCGTGCGCTTCCTGACATCCCCCCCCTCTCCGCCACACGCGCGTACTAACCTGCTGGCCACAGCTGATGGCTCGCGCTGCATGCTAGTGCCGCCCCCGCCAATCCATCCTGCCCCGCCGCTACATGCCGCTGCCGCCACGGCCGGCCCTGCGCGTGGGGCTGTAGGGAAGGCACACGGAGGCGCCAAGGCGCGGGGCGGGGGAGGGGGCGTCATGGTACAAGCAGAAGCGTTAAGGGCGAGGGCGGCATGCAGCTACAGGCCCAACGCAAGCATGCGCCAAGTAAGCAAGGCTCGTGCGCTTCCTGACACCCCCCCCCTCTCCGCCACACACGCGTACTAACCTGGCCACAGCTGATGGCTCGCGCTGCATGCTAGTGCCGCCCCCGCCAATCCATCCTGCCCCGCCGCTACATGCTGCTGCCGCCACGGCCGGCCCTGCGCGTGGGGCTGTAGGGAAGGCACACGGAGGCGCCAAGGCGCGGGGCGGGGGAGGGGGCGTCATGGTACAAGCAGAAGCGTTAAGGGTGAGGGCGGCATGCAGCTACAGGCCCAACGCAAGCATGCGCCAAGTAAGCAAGGCTCGTGCGCTTCCTGACACCCCCCCCCTCTCCGCCACACGCGCGTACTAACCTGGCCACAGCTGATGGCTCGCGCTGCATGCTAGTGCCGCCCCCGCCAATCCATCCTGCCCCGCCGCTACATGCTGCTGCCGCCACGGCCGGCCCTGCGCGTGGGACTGTAGGGAAGGCACACGGAGGCGCCAAGGCGCGGGGCGGAGGAGGGGTCGTCATGGTACAAGCAGAAGCGTGGGCGGGGGCGGCATGCAGCTACAAGCCCAACGTAAACATGCACCAAGGCGTGTGCACTTTCTGGCACCCCCCCCCTCTCTCCGCCACACGCGCATACGCCCCTGGCCACGGCTGCTGGCCCGCGCTGCATGCTAGTACCGGTGAGGATTACCTTGCTTGCACAGTGCGCTGGCGTGCACGTTGCAGGCTGCACACTTGACCTCCGAGCGCAAGACCTGGAAGTGCCCCTCGGCGGCTTTGGGAACGATCGCTTTCAAGTCGTTGGCGCTTACCAACTTTGAATCCTCACCCTTTCGATGCACGGAACTGCAGTGGTCCTGGAAGCATGGTCCCTCGCAGCATGGCTCAAAGCAAACACTGCATCGCTGTCTGTACTGGCTACCATAGCCACCTTTGCCATAATTATGGCGATTCTGTCCCATCAGGCATAGCTCCCTCAGAGATTTTTGCAAACAATGCGCACACAATGGCTCCGTCAAACATCAGCGCTGTGTTAAGTCTTCCACACGCAGTACTGGCTTGTGGTAGTTTAAAGCATCCTATATCATAGGTGCTTGACAGTTAGGGTAAAAGTGAAACCAGGGGGACCGTCGCATGACAGGAGGTGGTCCGCATAAGATAAGTCACGAGTAGATAAAGTGTAACTTAGGATCAAACTGTTATCGATAGAATTGAAGGCAGTTGGGCACAGCTCTGGCACAAAGCAGCAGCTTGCCAGTTGAACTGTACAACCGATTCCTGGGCAGGCCAGCCGCAAACCTCCAAAGATGGTGACAATAAGCCTTAAGTTAACGTTTGCAGTGGTAAGCCTTACATATAGCCGACTCCGGCAGAACCATGTTCCTGACCGAGGGGTAACGGACTGGTGCTCTGGTTACCTGGCGACCTGACTAGGGGGTAACCGGGCTGGCAGGGGGGTAAGACCTGGTTCGACTGCTATAGGGCGTTGGCTGGTGGCACGACTTGGGGAAAGCGGTGATTGCAACGTGCGCTACCGTGGGAGGCCTCGCCACGTGTTCCTAGGGCTTTTGCAAAGGGTTTACGAACCTGTACGATATCTAAGCTTCCACATTTGCACAACCTCCGCTTGTAACGCTGTGCGAAGTGTCTAAAGGGGCAGACGCAGACGTTGATGAAATGCGACGATGACGAGTGAAGCCGACTAAGGAGGTCGGAACTTGGTGGCTAGAAGTAGCCAATATAGGCTTATACAGGCTCCGTACTGACAAAACTTTGCGGGTTACGGCGGTGTGCTGCTGTTGCACCAGCCGAAAGAACAGTACACTTCACACCTCGTAGCGGCGGATTGCCGCACACCTTTGACCCCAGCTATGGCGCCTGCTATACCAACTAGGTCCCATGGCCAGTTTGGCCAATAACTTAAGTGGTGTAGTCATAGTTTTTGGTTGTCATTGTCGCGGGCAGGGCCTCTGCCCATCCAGGAAGCCGGCACAGCCGCCGCAAGCAGCAGATCACAACACAAGTAATGGCAATACCGGTACTGCTCAAAAGCCGCTTCACGTACGGCGGGAGCTTCACCCAACATGTATGACAAAGCAGTTCTCCTAATAATAAGAAGCATGCATGACGACTTAGTGACGCCAATGAACACACAGTGCGGCAAATCCAACAACACTAGGAAAGAAGTGTTAGTTGCCGGCCGTTAGGCAACATTTTGATAACTTACCATCCACACGCAATGAACGGGTGAGTGTACGGGTAGGTGCACAGTATGCGCTTGTACGGTAATAACACTCGTACAGCTCGGACACAAGCAAATGAGCCTATAAGGAATAGACGGGCAACAAACGACTTTATTTGATACCTAACAAGCGCCCCCTGTGCATGCGTGCAGAGGACAAGGACAGAAAAACACCCCACGCACGGGTAGCGCGACCGCCGCCTAGCACACGCCACACACACCTGACGCGCCAGTATCATTTCCCCAACTCAGTGGATGTGAATGGATGACCGTTAGGATGGTACCCTAAAGGGAACACGGGTCATGAACCGAACCCGACACTGCAAGAGAAACGGAACACGCCGTAATGACAACACCACAACGGGCCAGCAGGAAACAGGCATCAGAGCCCAAAAGTGACCACAAGAGAGGTAAAAACGAGGGTAGAAGCCAAGAAACGGCCCCTCAGCAAAAACCTCTACATGCAAAACTAGGGCAGAACAGCAAAACACACATACCAGGACACAACAACAACGCTCACAAAAAAATGGCAGCAGCGCGTGCGCATGATACACATAGCAGCACACCAGGAAACGGAAACCTTAGAAGGAAACATTTAGCAAGGAAGTAAGCAAACACGCACACGCGTACAAACCAAGATAACAAACCACAATGTGCGCAAGTAAGGGCATCATCGTCCATCATCTGGGCCGACAACGCCCTCGCTCACGCCATCTGCAGTCCCATCGCCGCCATCTGCGGCAGGTTGGCCTTATTGGAGGTGGCGCCGGCGCCGACATTGAGCCGTACACCCACCACCTCAGCCGCCGCAAACACAGCCGCAGAGACTGGAGGTTGCAGGGCGGCGGCGGACACTGGGAAGCGGTTGAGTCCGGGGCACGTCAGCTGCTGGTCCGAGCTGCTGCCCCTATAAATGTTGACCCACTGCTGCTGAGTGGCGTTGGTGGCCTGTAGGGAGGAGGCGGGGTCAAAGAAATGTGAAACCACATGTGAGGGCACGTGGCAAGGGGAGATAGGTGCGGCAGGAAATGACATGTTTTTGACCTGCCCTTGATTCCAGCAGGCGCTTCGCTAGGCCGGCGCCGTGGAAGCAAGTGTGCAGCCATAGTGATACCCCGGCCGATGGCATTATTATTTTTTTCTCCGAAACCGACCTCCTGTAGCCTATGTCGCGTACTGCAAGAACATGTTAAACATAATCCTTTGGTATTTGCGACAATAAAGTGAGCAATCCGGAAGTGCATTGACTTTCGGAAGACTCTCGAAGATGCTTAATGAATCGAAGGCTCTGAAAGTCGTCGACGATAGTACTTTGTGTATAAACAAGGCCCCAGCTTCAGAAGCTGTGGTTAAAAGTTAGAACCGTGCGGCTACGGGAGATGCGAAAAAATAGCTCTCTGCGAAATCTCTAGCGGGAGAGGGCGTGTAGCAGAACCTGTCATTCGCGAACCGTGGGTCCGTCCAAGGACGCCGGCTGGAGCATCCCAGTGTAAACGTCATGTCATACATGTTTTCCTCCCCCTTACATAAACCCCATCCGTACGACCTAACCATGCCTACCTGCTGGCTCGGCGTCTGCAGCAGCAGCTCAATGGAGGCGATGGCTGGGTCGATGGTTCCGCGGTTAAGCACGTAGGCCACCACCGCCCCCACCCGGCTGACCTTGGCAGCAGGGGTCTGGTTGAAGTACAGCACCGCGGTACGAGGAGTCTGAAGGGGTGGGGCGGGGCCGAGGGGCCACGCACAAAGGTGGGGTAAAGAGGAAAAGCAACTGTGTGAACAAGGCGATGGGCGGGGTGCAGGCGGTTCGGCGGGAAAAAGGGAAATAGTTATATCGTACCGTCTGCTGTCTATCCATAGCTGCCCCTATGCTTTCAAGCACGGATGTTAATACTGCATGCATGTGGTCTTGCAGCTTATTAGCTGCTGCTATGTATGGAAGTGCACGCACGACGCCGGCTGTACACTTCCGGCCGGCCCCACCACCCAACCTAGCTAAGCGGTGCCTGGCCTAATAATGAATCTACCAGCGGTGCATTTCCGTATTCATGCTAGCCTAGCCCGGTTTGGTATCCATTGGCTTGGCTTACATACCTCGAGTGATGGAATCCATCGGTTGGCGGCGTCCCCAGGCTTGCAGACCCCCTTTGCTATGGCCTTCAATACATTAGCATTGGGCGCCCCCAGCAGCTTAGCCACGGCACCCCCGGTGGTGCTGAAGCCCAAGGGGTCCTGCGGGGGTGTGTGGGCACTCACGCACAGAATGTATTTCCCTTGCGGCTACATGACCGTACTACATCAATCTCACACAAACGTATGGTGCTACCCATGCAGTATGCTGCTTCTTTCTCATGCCTGTCAGCAGTGGAGGGGCATGTGACAAGCTGCAGTACTATCCACATGCTTTTCGCACTACTACAACCCCTCGGCGGTCCCAGCTAGCGTACATGGAAAGTCAGTCCCCAGTGCAAACAAGGTTGTGCGCCAGGCAGGCAATGAATCCATCACTGCTTACCTTTGCAGTAGAAGCGGATGTGGCCCAATAGGTGATCGGGGGTGGTGGCGGGGAGAACTTGGGGGGCAGAAGAGGTGGGCGGGTCGGCGGGGGAGGGGAAGGAGGAGGGAGGCGGGAGGGCGGGGGTGGGGAAGGAGGAGGGGGAGAAGAGGGCGGGGGTGGTGAAGGAGGAGGGGGAGAGGAGGACGGGGTTGGGGAGGGTGATGGCTGAGGATGAGGAGGAGGGGGTGGGGGTGGAGGTGAGGGTGGTGGGGCCTGAGGCGGAGTTGGGCTAGGCGGCGGCGGTTGGGGCGGGTTAGGGGGTGGCGGGCTTGATGGCTGGGGGGATGGCGGTTGGTGGGGTGGCGGGCTGGGGGGTGCTGGGGGTGGAGGGCTGGGGGGTGTCAGAGGCAGGGGGTTGGATGGTGAAGGTGATGGAGGATTAGGTGAAGGTTGGCTTGTGCGGGGTGGTGGTGGGGGAGGTGGGGGACTTGGGCTGGGAGGACTTGGGCTGGGAGGACTTGGGCTGGGAGGACTTGGGCTGGGAGGACTTGGGCTGGGAGGACTTGGGCTGGGAGGACTTGGGCTGGGAGGACTTGGGCTGGGAGGACTTGGGCTGGGAGGACTTGGGCTGGGAGGACTTGGGCTGGGAGGACTTGGGCTGGGAGGACTTGGGCTGGGAGGACTTGGGCTGGGAGGACTTGGGCTGGGAGGACTTGGGCTGGGAGGACTTGGGCTGGGAGGACTTGGGCTGGGAGGACTTGGGCTGGGAGGACTTGGGCTGGGAGGACTTGGGCTTGGGGAATTGGGGCTTGGAGGACTCGGGCTGGGAGGACTGGGGCTGGGTGGGCTTGGGGGACTGGGGCTGGGTGGACTAGGGCTGGGTGGACTGGGTGTTGGGGGAGGAGAAGGAGGTAGTGGAGGTGGCGGAAGATTCGGTGGCGAGGGAGGAGGACTGGGTGGAGCAGGGAAGGGAGACGGCTTGGGGGGAGCTGGCTTTGAAGGGGGGCTTGGGGGGCTGGGATCCTTGTAGTACAGATCTGCGGCGGGTTACAGTAAGCATATATAGAGTAAGGAAAGGGAGCTTGCACAGTGCAGCTTGTGAATCTCTTGCAGTGTGGGGTTGGGTTCGTCGCCCTTGTCCCCTATTAGGGAACAATTGTAACGTTCATTTATTCAGGTAGGCTACTATGCTGCATGCAACTTTGTGTGCAGACTGACAAGCGGGCATAGACCAGCACCCAGCACCCAGCATGACTGCCTTGTCTTCACTTGCAGCAGCTGCTATAGAGTTATGCAAACTTCAACAGATACGTAATAACACTCACATACGCCCGTAGAGCTAGTTATGTGGGTGTTGTCACCATATACCAGGGTCCAGTACAATCCGGAGTAGTCACTTGTATCAAGACTGAAAGACTGGCACCAAGAAAATATGTTGCATTCCGATGCGAGGAAATCGAGGTATGACGAAGAACTTTCTCCTGAATTTTTGGGTCGCGAAGCAGCCGATGTGGGTAGGATCCTGCATGTATGATAATACCGGTAAGGAAGCAGCACAGTAGTAAGCCAACTTCGATCTTGGCTGCTTCTACAGGCGCCGTTGTTCGCCATCCGTAAACACTTACCCGCTGACAAATTTGTTACTTAGAACGCGACTGTAGCCAGACGCTGCGGGAGGGCAGGATTTGCAGCATGTTGGGCAAGGTAATGAAGGAAGCCAAACGCCTTATCATGAGGTTATCTTGGTAAACCACCCTTCTGTGCGACGCGCAATTGGCTAGTGAAGCCAAGCTCGTAAGGCTGTAAGTTGCTTCAAGCGCCATAATTGCATAATTCGATGACAGCAATTGCCGCACTTTGACAGTTAAGCCGGCTGTGTAGAGGTAACCCACAATTTTATAAGCTTACGTGCGCCAGCTGCCAGGGTGCACCAAAGGAGGACCAAAAGGAGGCATACTCCACGGAAGCGCCGCATCTTATGGTGAGTGTTGCCTAAGGCGCTCGGAATCTCACAACCACCTGCTGCAATATTCTGAAGCAGTTCAAACTGAAGCGTACCAGCCCGTTTGGGTGCGATAAGCTCTCTGCCGACAGGTGCGACGGGGGATGTGCGTCGGCTTCAGGCCCTTGGTTCCCTGAAGCTAACTACTCATACCGGGATTCAGGTATCAGATTTATGTAGGATAGGATGGATTTTATTTAAGGGTAGTCCCGTCGTAAAACCTCTGAGATATCGGATGTACGTACAGTACGTACTTCGAAAGTCCGAGACCAACTCTCGAGCTCCGCTTCTCCAAACTTTCGATAAACAATTATGCGTGGACAAATGAGTGGATAAATTATAGTTCTTGATTATGCCTGCCTCAATAGGTGGTAGCTGGCCCGCCGTTAGAAAAAAAGGTCGTATTCGAGCCTCGGCCCAACAAATGCCTTTCCAGTTCTAAACTTAATTCGCGGGCACAAGTTCGCTTCAGATACGGCGGGGCCCGCCATTCGCCCGCCATTCTTCCACTACCTCTGTAGAAAGTACTGTACACCTGTCGTGTTTGAAGAAAAGGTGTAGGAAAATGTATAGGCAATAGTTGTTGGCGATAGTCGAAGGTGAGAATGCTATAGTTGTTGGCGTTAGTCACGAGGTAAGTGGGCACAAGGCGAAGCTGGCTTGTCATAAGGAGGTATGGTGAATGTGGGAAAGGGTGCAGGTTGAACATCCGGGAGTATCCTTATTGCTAGCTTACTACACTGGCTTAACAACGACTACGTTAGAGCTGGGATATGGGATTGGGGTTGTTATTCAAGGGGTCTGTCGCCCCTGCTGCTGAGGACGACCCGGAAGCGCTTGCAGAGGAACACGAGCGCCGTGGTTTGACCGCTTGGGTGAGTACATCACAAGGGATTACTGTTCACTTACCTCTAAATAGGTATATGTGGCAAGGTTCGTGTAGCCGCGCTAAAGCCATGACCCTCGGCGTTGACTGGAATCTTGCAATGCTTGCCTGCAGGTGAAGAGGAACCCCCATTCAAAACGCAGGTTACGGTTCTGGAGCGCACCCGCGAGGCTGGCAAGAAGATCCTCATGTCTGGCGGGTCCCGATGGTACGTCGTCAAGTATCCTGTTGGTTTTTTCTGTTGGAATGTTGTGTTTTGTTGTGGGTTTGGGGTTTTCCTTTCGTTGTCGTTCCTGTGGAGGGAGGCTGTTTGGTTGTTTTCAGCCTTCGGTGGTGGTGGTGTTGCCCCTCGCCTGTCCAGGTGGTCAGAGTGAGGTTTTGACCTCTCAGGCAGGTCACCCGTCCTTGTCCTTGTCCTGTCTGGTGTGTTGTCTGTTGCAGTTCCTTTCTCCTCTGTCAGGTGGGCTTGTAGGTGGTGTTTTCTAGGGGTGCTTCCCTGGTATCCAGTGGTTTTCTCCGCTGGTTTTCTTGGCGGTCTTCCTGTTCTTCCTCTGTAACAGTCCACATCGGAAAAAAAAGAAAAGAAAAACAGCATACGGTATAGCGGATGACATAAGGGCCATCTGCATACCGGTGCACCATGACCCAACCGCACCTCCTGCACCTTCCACGGCGCTTGTAAGCAGCTCCTCCCCTTCGCTCCCATGCCCTGCCCCTATCCTCAATTCCTCGTCAGCCTCCTGGAGGCCTGCCGGCAGCAGCTGGCGCGTTAGAGTGATGTGGAACCCACCTCACTGACACAGGCCAAAGTCATCAGAAATGCACCGAAACGTGCGGGTTTTCGAATCTGGCGACCCGTCCTGGTTTGCACAGGAACCGGATCAGAAGGAACGCGTTCAGCAGAAGTGTTGGACGAGAGAGTTGTGGGACTGTTATCCTTACGGACAGCCCAGTACGAACGAAGCAGATCCGCGCAGTTGGTCAGATTGGCTTCAGGCTCCCAAGAGTCATACTCAGGCCCCTGACCTTTCCAACGCATCAGCTAGTACCGCTGACGGTGACGTTGGCTCGCCCCGATTAGGGGCGTAGTCTTAGCGTTCACTCAAAATAGTCCGGGCCGAGGCGTTATGTCCTTTTTGTACCGTGTCCATGTCCTATGTGTACCTCTGTACAAACTGTATGTACCTGCACCGAGGTCGCAGATTCGGTCGGACAAGGTGTCATTGTATGTGTTGTTGTTTTTTGAACATAACGGCATGTCGAAAAAAGAGAGAGGCTCAGAGTTGAGAAGACGACCCACATGTCGTACATAGCGGCGGAAACAAAGCGCTGTTGGAAAGGGCAAATTTTCGATAGGATGGGCATGTCTCAGAAAGAGACTGTCCCGGGCCTCGGGACAGTTCGTGTACATGATTTGGAAAGTTCGTGTAGATGATTCGTAATCTACATAGCATTGTCATTGTATTGTTGTAAAGCTTTAACAACTAGCGTGGAGTGTCGCAGCCGTCTGTGGAGCTCTTGCCTCCCTTGGCACGTTATGCATCTTGGTGGGGGAAGGGGCTGGTGCCCCTTCCCCCATACCCCCATCCGCCCTTACATGCATGCGTACTCTTCCCCCATACCCCCATCCCCCCTTACATGCATGCGTACAAGGTGCTACCTTGCAAACGCATCCGATGCAACAAGGGATACACGTTTGCTCTTGAAATGCGTTGTCTCCAACCTGATATTGCGCCGTTCCCCCATCCCCCCTGCTGTAAGTACCCTGTTGTTGCAATTACTTGGGATTTGTTGTACGCTTGGCTTTCCTTGTCTGCATCTTATGGCTTTTTGCCGTTGTTTCTCTCCATTGTCGCAATCTTTTGTTGGCATGGCGTCCGTGCTCAAGCGCAGGTCTTATGCATGCAAGGTACTGCTGCAACTGGATATATATTTCGCAGCCACTTGTAGACCGAATGTTGTCAGTGTTGTGTGGTTGGGAAATAGTCTGCAGGCATACGGTGCTTGTCTCCCCTGGCACCGTATGCATCTTGGTGGGGGAAGGGGCTGGTGCCCCTTCCCCCATACCCCCATCCCCCTTACATGCATGCGTACAAGGTGCTACCCTGCAAACGCCTTCGATGCATCAAGGGATAAACGTTTGCTCTTGAAATTCGTTGCCTCCAACCTGTTGTTGCACCATTCCCCCCATTCCCCTTGCTATAAGTGCCTTGTTGTTGCAATTCCTTGGGGATTGCAGTACGCTTAGCTTTCCTTGAATGCATCTTTTTGTTTTTGCCGTTGCTCCTCTGTATTGTCGCTTAGTTGCACATTTTTGTTGGCATGGCGTCCGTGCTCAAGCGCAGGTCTTATGCATGCAAGTTACTGTTGCAACTGGATATGTACTTCGCAGCCACGGATAGACCGAATGTTGCCAGTGTTGTGTGGTCAGGAAAGAGACTGCACTTGTTGAGCGCATGTCGGTGGCGTCGATGCTAAAGTTTAGGCCATTCGCATCTTCTGTAGCTTTGCTTTAACATTATTTTCAGCGTTTGCCTAGCACTACCGAGCGCTATGAGAGGAGCTGCTGGTTGCTCGCTGTGACAATGCAGTACAATTAGCCTTCTTGCGACTTTAGCCAGGATCCGCCTTTGCCCTGCCAGCATTTATACTACGCAAACTGACCAGCGGCTGTACGTGCTCAATTGTGTTCCTTTGCGTACCGTTTTCAGTTGTCCCCCTCTACGACAAAGGAAGCTGCAGGAAGGTGTCAGCTCGCTGCTGCGGATGCCCACCGCTGGTCCTAGGTCCGAAGCGACCTAGGCGTACGGCAGCCGTCTTGCGTTTACCCTTTCCACCGCATTTCAGTATAATGTAACTAATCCTTGTTGCTTGCCAGGTGAATGGGCGCTCAAATCAACCTTGCCCACCTTCAAAGCGTGCTTCCAAGTCTGTCCACGTACTTTTCCCAGCAAAAGACGCTTATTGCTTGTAAGATTCTTATGCTTTTATCCTAAATCAATAACAGTGCAGCCGTTTGGGGCCAATACTTCGCGGTAAAGAGGAATGTTGATATTGAGCCGAGTCGTCATATCAATTAGAGGCTCATGAATAGTCACCTAGATACCGGAAAGAATACTTCACGCAATAATTCCATGGCGAGCGAAGATGGAGATATCATGTCCTCAGGCTACGATTCCGACTACAACGATGACAATGAATTGTTTGAAGATGCCGTTGAAGCGCTCAACGATGACCCCGTATTCAGCGAGAAAGTTTATTCAGAAGACACCGAAGATGCCGGCGAGAGGGATATGGTGGAGTTGGGGCAGGCTGCTGCTGATGGGGACGCATACCCCTTCATTGACATAGGCGTATTTGTGAGTACAGCTTTGCCATACAGCTTGGCCCTTCCCTTACTTCCGATGCCGGCAAGTTTAAATGTATTCCCCCTGGGTAGTCTCTCTCTTTCCTTGAAAGAGTTGTTCATGCTGGATGGCACTTCCCTTCCCTTAAGCTGTGTAAACCCCATTTTCCCATGCGTTTACTTCAGCGGGTACCCTGGCTAACTTCATCTACGCGCTTGTATATTGTAGGAGGTTGATGGCTTTGGGAACTGTCCTTGTTAGGTAGCATGAAGGGGGGGATAAACGGGTGTGATGAATTCAATGGTCGGATTTTGGCCCTATGCCATTTGGAGGGCCTCCACCCCTACCCTGAAGCCCCTGCCAAGCCACCACCTGGGAGACCGACCATCGCAAATTGCGCTGAAACTTTGGGAACTGTTCTTGTTAGGTAGCATGAAGGTGGGGTTAAACGGGCGTGACGAAATTCAATGGTCGGGTTTTGGCCCTATGCCATAAGGAGGGCCTCCACCCTACGCCAAAGCTTTATTTCATTGATATGGGCTCCCATGCTGCAGGGTGCCGGTGCTGCAGGTGGCAGTGCGGGTGGCGGTTCTTCTTCTGGGGCAGCGTCAGGACGTCCCACCGCTGCTGGGGGTGATGAAGTAACGTTGTCATGGGGAAGGCGTGGCCGTCGTTCAGGGTTCCCAGTCCGAGAGGGTTACACATGCAAGAGTCTTGTTGGCAGATGTGCACTGGATGCAGCGCGTCGTTTGGTCAGGAGAAAGCAGTCAGATGGTCGCACCGTCAGTAACCCATGCTCAGTAACGGCTTTCGTCTTTAACACGGCCTGCTGCTGTCACACCTTCAAAGCGGACAAGTTCGGCATGCATGTCGTGGCAGTCCGTGCTTCTACTACCAGTGCCTTGGAAACCACCAGTGCCAGTCTGTGTGTCTGTGTGTGGGTACAAGCGAGACAAGTGAGACCAAGGCACGGGTGGAGTCAGCACTATGCATGTGAATGAATGAATGACCGTTACAATGGTGCCCTAAAAGGGAACACGGGTGATGAACCCAACCCTACATTGCAAAAGAAACGGAACAAACCGTAGAGACAGCACCACAACGGGCCAACAAGATGGGAGACATAGCCCTAAAAGAAACCTCAGGAGGGAAACAAGAGGGTAGAAGCCAACAAAAGGCCCCTCAGCAAACCTCGACAAACTTCATCTAGGGCATAAGACAACCCAAACCGGAAGCCACGAACACACCACCCCAAAGGCATCAGGGCCAAAAAACAGGACGCTCATGTGTCCTCCAGAGGGCACTATTAAAAACACCCTCATGCGTGCAAGCCTTTCTCGATGGGCTCCGAGCATGGAAATCCTAGGAAAGGTTGTTGCCACAGCAACATCACAGGCGCCCAGCTTGAGGACATACCAGGAGAGCAGGGACCGGTACAGAGGGGTAGCAGCACTGGCACCACAGCAAAGTGTTGTTGCCCCATGTGTGTTGCGGCTGGCTGACTCGGTAACACATGGTGCTGGACAGCTACCGGCCTCCCTTCAACGTTCCCTGACGGCGCACCTTAATCATCTTAGCAAGCTTATTCGAGGAGGGAAGGTTTCAGGGCATAGACATTCTCCTTTTGGCCATTGAATGGGGAAGCCATTGAGCTTCGCTGGATGGGAGGGCTGACGACGCGGTCGCGAGCGCGCAACAATAGTGGTTTGTCACGAAGGGACACCAATCACTTCCAATAATTATTGGGCAGCTATTAAAGCTTTCTAAAGCACAGAAAGCTGCAGAAAGCGGGAATCCTTATGGCGGGTGCCGTACGCCTAGGTCGCTTCGGACCTAGGACCAGCGGCACCGCAAGAGTGCTCGTACCCCCTAAGGGAGTCTGAGGTCGTACAGGGCCTCCTGGCAGCGTGCTGTGCTCGCTGTGCTCAGAAGCGTGCTATGAAACATCTTAGAAAGAATGCAATTATATATGCCACATATTTCTATCTAAGTGCAGCCCATTTGGTATTCACCTCGCTATCGACCCAGCACAAGGCTTAACATAAACAGTTGTCCTTAACCTTATGCATTAACATGTAACTAAACATGAGTGATTCAGGTGTTAGTGTAGGTCTCCTAGTAGCTGAACACTCCGACAATGAAGCCGAAGCATTCCTTCGCGCTGCTCTCGGCGGGTCAGATGGCAGCGGT